CCCCCCCCCCCCCCAACAAGCAGCGTAATATAAAGGGAACGACCCGGGAGAACAGTTTAGTATCAGGCTGCTCCTCGCCCTGATGAAGTGGACTGCAAGGTTCACGAAACGTTGGCATTCCAAGAATGGATTTGAACACGGAGAAAACCCGCGAAACACAAGATTGTCATCGAAGGAAATTATCAGATTGACACAAAAGATATTAGTATGATAAGCTATACTGTGTATCATATTCATTAAATAATATTAAAAATCGCATAAACTAATTGCATTGCTTTCTTTCCTATATATCTATAATGACATCTTTTCAATGACCTATTTTGAAAAACTTGAATTATTCGTTTAACTCGAAGCGAAAATGAATAGGAAGATAATTAATCTTTTATATTGATACGATAAATAACAGTTACTTACATGGAACCTTTTGGAACAGTCATATTCAGGCCGTTGAACACTAATTCTTTCTCATAACGCTTTATGGCGTTCCTTACGATCACTGCCTCTTGCTGCACCATTTTGCGAAATAGTAATAAGTGTTTAATATCACCGTCTGAATTGTAATAATTTTTTGCTCAGATAATTTGAAGTCGATCAAGAGTTTCCTGTAACGATTAATTTTTTTAAATGCAACTTTTTCCGAAAATTTTCTTTCAGAATTTTTATATTTGAAATTTATAAAGATTTTTAGCCTCGGTGGTCTAATGGCTTAGGACGCTCGTACGGAATACAAGAGATCCGGGTTCAAGTCTCGGTCGAGGTAATATTTTTCGCAATAAATTTATTTAAGGTTTTCAGCACATTGTCAATTTAATTTAACTTGTGATATTATTGCAGTAGTTTAATTGCGTTAGATAAAGTCCGGCGTATACGCGCCGAAATTTTTCCGGACTTTATCTAACGCAATTATAGTTTAAATATTAATATTATAGTTATATTATAGTTAATATTATAGTTATTAAAATATTATAGTTTGAATAACTACAAAAATATGATATATATGGGGCATTCTCCGCGTGTCGGAGTCCCCTTCTGCGCGCCCATTTCATTTTTTGACAGAATTCAACCAACCAGGGCTTAAAATTTTCGTTGGAGTGTCTACTTTTTAATGGCGTGTGGCCTTTTGTGAAAATTCAAAATGGCGGACTGGTGCAGCGCCGAGAATGAAAAAAGTATAAAAAATGAAGTATATATCTTTAAAAAAAATGCAGAAGTGACACTTCATTTGGATGATACTGTATACTGAGGAGTTTCGAGGTTGCTGGTTCCGATTCTGAAGTCGAAATTGAGAAATTCAAAATGGCGGGATAG